TGCCCAAAAGTAGAGCGAGAGAGTGTGTGGGGAATATTGTCTGCCATGGAGGCAAGGGGAGGGTGGGAAAGGGGGGCTTTACCGAGGATATTGGTGGTGGGGGATGTGCAGTGGTGGAGGGATGGGTGTTTGATCATTGTGATTGTAACTCAAACATGAAAGCTTGTAACTGTTTCTCACGGTGATTCAATAAAATTTTAAAAAAGAAAAGGTGGGGGGGGAAGCACAGTCGTGACTTTGTATCTCTTACTAAATTAAGACTTCTATCAGGTGACATCATTGGTACTTGAAGTCAAAGCTGAAGAGAGAGGCTGGGGCTCCCAAGTGCAGAGCCTGTGCACAGTCTGTTGAGCAAACTCTCCAGCCTTCGAAGCTGATTTTTAAACACATCACAGGAAGGTGGTTGGTAATTTCTAAAGGCACACTAACATATCATTTAGATGACCTTTTATCGATAGGCTCCTAACAGTCGTTGGATTTTGTCGATGAAACTCTTTGCTGCGGATAGTACCCAGTGTGTGAGTTTGTAGGAGTGGAGTTTTGCAGTGCTGGGAATCGAACTTGGGGCTCAAGCATGCTAGCTATGTGCTCTTGTAGATGTTTTCTTTTCTGTGCGGTTAAGTCCGTTGGTTCAACTAAGATGTAATGCCTTACTGTGTGTTACACTTTACTAGAGACCAGAGATGCAAAATAAGATTAAAATTGTTTGGCCATATCCAGTGGTTCTCAGGGTTTAGTCCTGGCTCTGCACTCAGGGAATCACTCCTGGTGGGGCTCATGAACCGTATGTGGTACTGGGGAACCAAACCACTCAGTCATATGCAAAGTAAGCACCCTACCATTCCATTCCCTACCATTCCCTAGTACCAAAGAAAAAAGTTTTGGTCATAAACAGTATTGTAAATAAGAGTCTCAATAAAGATTTTTAAAAATCTTGATGGGAAACTGATATTCTCTTTCATATTTTTATCTTTAGAGGTTAAAAATTGGGGGTGGAATGCCAGAAATCCGTGCAGGGCCTCATACACAAGAGCTGTAACACTGGCCTACATCTCCAGTCCACTGATCCTTAGTGTTTTTCATGTGCCCGGCACTGAGCTATAAGTGCAGTTGTTCATTGCTAGAAATTGTTTCAGTGGAAATTCACAGGAAGTGTTAGAGCCATAGTTCCGATATAGTTTAAGGTTTTGGAGAGGCAATGCCTGGGAGAGAAGATGGCAAAGGCCTTAAAGCATTTTTAGTTTTTTGGTTTTGGGGGGCTGTGCCTCTCAGTGCTCAGGACTCATTCTAGGACTCTCAGGGAGGCTTGAGGGACCATCTGTGGTGCCGGGTATTGAACCCGGGTGAGAAGCATGCAAGGCCAGTGCTCTACGCACTCCCCAGCCCAGTGACAGATTGAACACTGGCCTCCTACACATAAAGCATTCACTAAGTCCTTTGATCTCTCTGTCCCATGATCATAATGTCCCCTACCTCTAGGTACCTCCTGTCTCCCAAACATCTCCCATTGCACTTTTTTTCTTTTGTGATTCTAGGAGTAGAACTCGGGGCCTCACACACACAGTGCTCTCCCACTGAGCCACATCCCTGGTCCTCCCACCTCACTTTCAACAAACAATCTTCCTGGGAGATTTTTTTCAGTCACACCCTGCAGAATTCGGGAGTTATGCCCATGGTGGAGCTGTTGGGGGTGCAGGTGGCCCCTGGATATAAACACTAAAATGTTTAAAGAATGCACGCTATTTTGTTAGGAGAGGGGGAAATGGAAGATTTAGTTCCCCACAGCAAAGATCACATTGTTAACTCTAGGTTTAAAAAGAAATCTAAGCTTGGGGCTGGAGCAATAGCACAGCAAGTAGGGCGTTTGCCTTGCACGTGGCCTACGGGGGTTCGATTCCCAGCATCCCATATGGTCCCCTGAGCACCGCCAGGAGCAATTCCTGAGTGCATGAACCAGGAGTAACTCCTGTGCATCGCGGGGGTGTGACCCAAAAAAGCACCAAAAAAAAAAAAAAAAGCTTGTAAACACTAAGACAATGGTGGAAGGGGAAGTGCCTGCCATAGAGGCAGGCTAGGGGGCTGGAGGGCAACTGGGAACATTGGTGGAGGGAAGTGGAAACTAGTGAGGGTTTGATATTGGAACATTATATGCCTGAAACTCAATCATTAATAACTTTGTCATTCATGATGTTTCAATTTTTTTTTTTTGCGCTTTTTGGGTCACACGTGGTGATGCACAGAGGTTACTCCTGGCTCTGCACTCAGGAATTACCCCTGGCAGTGCTCAGGGGACCATACGGGATGCTGGGAATTGAACCCGGGTAGGCCGTGTGCAAGGTAAACACCCTACCCGCTGTGCTATTGCTCCAGCCCCATGATGGTTCAATTTTTAAAGGAAAAAAATTACAATCTGAGCATGAGAACTATCCATGGTTGGTGTTAATAGAACATTTCGAGGGGTGGGGCTGATGACCTGACTCTATAAACTGGGATTTTGCAGAAAAACCATCAGATGAAATTGCAGGAGGCAAAATTCTCACTTTTATTGCAATTTCCATTGCTAGGGAAACTAGCAATGCTGAGCCAGTTCATGGAAAAATGCCACAATTTCCAATAGGGATTCAGAGATTCAAACAAACATGGCTAATTTTAGATGAAATCATTATTTCCTGGAAATTACGTATTTCACAAATTCTTTTTTATTGGAGGGTGAGTAGGAGGGGACATACTAACCAGTACTCAAGGGGATCAGATGGTCATACTGGAGTGGCTGGATGACTCAATGCTTAGGTTCCAAATGTGGTGGTGCTAGGGATCCCACCATGATCATATCTAGTGGTGCTCAGAGGATAATGTACCACCTGGGATTCTGTGTGCCAAGCATGCACCCCAGCCCTTTGTGCCCCCACCATATACTTCCAACTTTGCTATTATATTTTTGTCATCATACTTAGGACATCTATCATGTTCTATCACTGAGCTACATACATCCTTGCCTCAAATTTGTTCTTTTATTTTATTTTTAAAATTTTATTTATTGCTTTTTGGGTAGATCAATGCACAGGGGTTACTCCTGGCTCATGCACTCAGAAATTAGTCCTGGCGGTGCTCAGGGGATCATATGGGATGCTGGGAATCAAACCTGGGTCGGCCGCATGCAAGGCAAACTCCCTATCCACTGTGCAACCACTCCAGCCCCAAATTTGTTCTTTTAAAGGAATATTAAAATATCTCACTGACCCTAATAAACACATCAGAGTAATTTCATTGCTTTTACATGCAAATAAGTATAACATGTCATCTTGTTATCTGGATGCCGTCCAGGTCACAGAACAAAAGCAAGTTTCACTCATGGCTTCTTTTTGATAAGGTTATGTCTGATAAAGTAACATGATTGCTATTATTTCCTCTCTTGGAAAAATATAAAGTAATAAAAAAAAAAAGAAACTGCTTTAGATCTTTCTAGGGAGTCTCAATATCCCTCCTTCTGAGACTTCTGAATACTGGTCCCATAAACTAATTATATCAAAACATTCTTTTAATGATGAAGTTATTTTATCTTTTTTCTTTACCATACTGGGGATCAAACCCAAGGCTTAAAACATGCAAGGTAAGTGCTCTACCATTAAGTCCCACCCTGGCCTACAACAGATTTTGTTTAGTTAGAAGCATCTCTAGTTAAGAGTAACACTGTATGGGGCTGGAGCAATAGCACAGCGGGTAGGGCGTTTGCCTTGCACGCAGCTGCAAGGTTCAATTCCCAGTATCCCATAGGTCCCCCGAGCACCACCAAGAGCAATTCCTGAGTACATGAATCAGGAGTAACTCCTGTGCATCACCGGGTGTGACCCAAAAAGAAAAAAAAAAGAGTAGCACTGTAGGGGCTGGAGCGATAGCACAGCGGGTAGGGAATTTGCCTTTCACATGGCTGACCCAGATTCGATTCCCAGCATCCCATATGGTCGCCCAAGCACCGCCAGGAATAATGCCTGAGTGAAGAGCCAGGAGTAGCCAGGACTAACCCCTGTGCATAGCCGGGTATGACCCAAAAAGAAAAAAAAAAAAAAAGAGTAACACTGTAGCACTATCGTCCCGAAAAAAAAATCACTATTACTGTAGCACTGACATCCTGTTTTTCATTGATCATTGATTTCCTTGAGCAGGCTCCAGTAATGTCTCCTTCGTCCTAGCCCTGAGATTTTAGCAAGTGCCACATTCGAGGCTCTTTCAGGGTCAGGGGAATGAGACCCATCATTGTTACTGGGTGTGGGCATATCAAATATGCCATGGGGAGTTTGCCAGACTCTGCCATGTAGGCAGGATACTCTCGGTAGCCTGCCAGGTACTCCAAGAGCAAGAACTAGATAATAAGATGTTGCATGGCCGCATTTGCGGCTGGGAGCTGGGTTTTATAGTCTCTGGGTCTTGGCTGTTGATGGGACAACACAGCACTGGGGTCAGTTGGTGGGTATAATGCCTACGTACTGGAAGATGGGGGATCTGGGTGGAGGAGGCCCAGTCCCGATCCGAGCAGGCTTGGAGATCTCAGCCCCAGCTCCCACATGCCTGGGTTCCTCTACTGGTTCCTTCATGCGTGAGGCTCATCCGAACGTGTGGAGAGTGGTCTTAAGCATGGCTGTGGCTGGTTCCGGAGGTCTTCAGCTGCTGGGACTCTGCTTGGGGCGGGGAGGAAAACTCAATCCTCAACTCAACAACAACAAAAAAATAGTCTCCAAATAACAAACTTTAGGGGCTGGAGAAACAGTACAGTGGTTAGGGCACTTGCCTTGCACACAGCCAACCCTGGTTTGATCCTTGGCATCCCATATGGTCCCCCAAGCACCGCCAGGAGTAATTCTGAGTGCAGAGCCAGGAGTAGCTCTGAGCATCGCTTGGTGTGCCCCAAAACAACAACAAAACTTAGTAAAGGACATTAATGTTTTACTGAGCCCCAAAATGCTTGCTTCTCTTCCCACAAAAGCCAAACAAAAAACAATGGGTGTTACTAATGTTTTCTATTTATTCATTAATAAAAAGTGCATAGTACAAGCCCTTTATCCCAGTCCAAGAACTCAATAAAAGATTACAATAAACCTGAATGGCATAGACATGATTTGTTTGGCATGATTTAAATACTTAAACAGCAATTAATATTTAGCATATCACATGACCACTTTTGCTTGGAACAAATAATCAGACATGGTTAACAAATACAGAAGACCTATTATTCAGGAATAGTACTGCAACAACAAAAATTTAATTGTAAACGCTTTATTTTTCTCTTCAAGTTACAGCTTCGCTTCTTGAATTTGATCAAATTTTTGCACATAATCCACTTAGAGTGAAAGATTTTTCATTCAAGGTTCTTAGGTTCCTTTGAAAATGTAAAATATTTGTGATTCTATAAACACTAATATTGCATACCACAAGGACAATAAAAGTAACCAAGGAATAGCTGTAACTTAATAGCTACTTTGGAAAACCTCTGCAACTCAGAGATAGTGTTTGGCTATATTCATAATAAAAATCTTTCCTAATACAGTTTCAATGTTAACTTTTTCCATCAAGAAAAAATGTTATTTTGCATTAAAAAAATTAGTCTTGGGGCTGGAGTAATAGTACAACGAACGGGTAGGGCATTTGCCTTGCGCGGGCCAACCCGGGTTCGATTCCCAGCATCCCATATGGTCCCCTGAGCACTGCCAGGAGTAATTCCTGAGTGCATGAGCCAAGAGAAACCCCTGTGCAATGCAAGGTGTGACCCAAAAAGCAAAAAAAAATTTAAAAAATTACTCTGAAACAATGGCATTTGTAGAATGCTTAAGAGCTAAACCTCAAATATTTAGTCTTGTACTGTACTGTTTCCAGATTTAATTTTGCTATTGTTGTTGCCTTTTAGGCCCTCCCTAGTGGTGCTCAGGATCTACTCCTGGCCCTGTGCTCGACCCAGTCTTGAACCCAGGGCCTCATACATGGAAGTCAGATGCTCTACCACTGAGACACATTCCCAGCACACCGATTTATTTTTAAATGGTTGTAGCTACGGTTTAGGCAAAATGTTTACAGGCCAAGTACTGAGTAAGTGCGCTCAATAAAAGGCCACATGTAGAAGCTTGAAGAATACAATAATCTAAATTACTAGTTAGGCTAACAGGAATACATTGTGTGCAGTCGTGGACTGTCTTTATCCAAAATGTGAAGAAAATCTTACAAGCCAAAAGCCAAAAACAAAACAAACCATCAAAAAACACCCAAACCCCTAAGACTAAATAGTTCACTCTGAACTTTTGTTACTAATTAAGTGAATGGTCCATATATGAAAAGATGAAAAGTCTGGATGACCATTAAGTATACATGACAGAACGAGAGACTGGGATTAAGAATCCACATGTCCAGGTGTGGGAGGTGGAGATCTGGTAACATAGGGTTTGATGTTTGGCTGGGGGGTAGCGTCCTATCAGCAGTGCTGAGGGGCTACTTGGGCTACACCTGTACAGTTGTTGGGGTCATGTGGCAAGGGATTGAACCGAGGGACTCCAGGATACAGGCCAAGCAAGCTCTAGCCCTTAGGACTAGCTCTCCAACCCTGGCACTTAGTTCTTGGCACCAGGGAAAAACAAAAACAATACAACTCAAAAATCAGGGGCATCAAGGAGTAAACAAGAATACAGAAAAGAAAAAAAGAGAAAAGAATCTGGATTCTAAGGCTCTAGCTCAGAGGATATGTTTCTACTTCCAAGTCATGCTACTTCTTCAATCATCGCCAAATTCCAACCATTTGTAATGGTAGGTTCCATGACTATATCATGCATCTCTACCAGAGTTTGCTTCCTTGTGGTTTTTAAAAAACAAACTGACAGGATATAACTGCAAGCCCCCAAATTCTGAAGCCTGCCAGGAAAAAGGCATGCTTATCGCAAGGTTGCTCTATTTTATGCCAATCCACCTCTTTTTGATTTAAAAACTTGAACAGCTCTATGGGGCTGGAGCGATAGCACAGGGGGTAGGGCATTTGCCTTGCACGCAGCCGACCTGGCTTCGATCCCCAGCATCCCATATGGCCCCCCCGAGCACCGCCAGGAGTGATTCCTGAGTGCATGAGCCAGGAGTAACCCCTGTGCATTGCCAGGTGTGACCCAAAAAGAAAAAAAAAACTTGAACAGCTCTAGAACTAGGAAAGCTTCTGGTAGGTAGGTAGGTCACGTGAGGAAAACCTTAACTCTGGTGTTTATTCATCTGGGTTTGACTTGCCTACATTAGGCTACACCATGCCCTTCAGGTTACACAAGTCACTAATAGTTGATCATAGAGAGTTACACAGAATAAATTCTCTCATATATGGGATATAAACACAGTAGGGGAATAATAAATGCTCAAAGGCAACAGAACAAAAAGCATGAGAACTGATCTTCAGTAGGAGGCAAGCCACTGAGGGGGATAGGACAGGGAAGGGGATACTAAAGGGATACGAGTGATACCCTATCAGTGAGAGTGCTGTAAACCCAGAGCCGAAAAGAAAAGAAAAGGGCAGGAAGCGGGGTGGGAGGGAAACCGAGGACATTAGTGGAGGAAGTGGATTGGTGTTGGAACACTGTATACCTGAAACTAAATCATGACTGACTGTAATTCACGGTGATTCAGTAGAGAAAAGAAAAAAGAAAGAAAAAAAGAGTTGGTCATGTTATTTCAAGAATTTGATCAGAAAGCCAAGAAACATAAGAAATACAGCAGTCCACACTGGTTTATATAATGAAACCAAGCCCTTGCGAAGTTATGGCCTATAATGTAATCATACTAAAGGGGGCGGAAATAACCTTATGGACAACATTACACAATTGCACCAGAGACTCTTAAACAGTATAATTCAATTCATATAAATAATTTCTCAGATCTATACAGTGGATTGCTAGATGAATTGGGGGGGGGGAGGGAACCCTTACATTGATAATAAATTATCTTCTTGCCTGCATATTTTCATTTGTAATTATTTAAGGGGAAACTTCCACATAGGTCATGCGGACTTTTTTGGTAAAAAGTGCAATTTGTATTTATTTTCTTTCTGAGAAAAACAATGTTTTTTTAATTCCCCTTTTTAAGAATAAATTCAATTAAAATTTTTACTTATATTAATCCTCCTACCTACCCCTGTCCATTCCATTACCAAACAAGAATGAGATACAGGGTGAGAAAAAAAACCTTCTCTGGGAGGTTAGGGGTGCTGGGGCCATCCCTTGGGGTGCTCAGGGCTTACTTCTGGTTCTGTGCTTGTCATCTCTCCTAGCAGGACCCAGGGGACAAGATGGGGTACTCTACCCACTGCTGTGCTCTGGTCCTACCTTAATTGTTTTTTCATTTTCCTTCTTTTCCCTTGGAAAACGCCAAGAACCCATTCAATAATCTTAAAGCCAAAGGATAACAAAAGACTGGAGAAAAAAAATGTTTCTTTGAAGAAAAAAATCAGGTAAATAAGTAAATAGGCATTCAAATATCATAGACACCTCCAAAATTTCAAGACTGTTTTGTTTAAGAGAGAAGTATTAGAACAGAAAGAAGCATCCAGAGAGGCACCATATTAAAAATAAAGTGTCGCTTAAACCTGGCAAAGGCAGAAAGAATTTATTTTTCTACTCTTTCCATGAATCTGTGAGGCTCTTGTGCAGTGCATTACAAATGTCATTAGTGGGCAGTAAATCATCGACCATATTTAAATCATGTTTATTTAAAGATTTCTTAACATTAGACACATTTGTGTGGGAGTAGAAAACGTAGTAAACAACAAATTTACTTCTTCCCATCTCCTTTCCTAACCACATAGCCAATTCTAGTGAATGCTAGAGATTTTAGCTGTAACTAATAAAATATTTCAAATGTTGCCATCATCCCCAAAACTAGAGAAAACTTCCACTCCCTCCACAAACCAAACTTCTAGGTACATGTAAATACAATGTAGTTAGAATTTTCTTTCATATAATCTCAGAAAACCCCAAATAACTTTATAAATATTGATTGGGGAGAAAAAAAGGAAATTAAAAAACCTAGTAAGACTAAAATATTTAAATGCATATATCTCAAATCTCTCAATCAGGTCAGAAATCATTTTAAAAAAAATATGAACACAATTATAAAGAGAATGAATGGAATGTTTAAGCTTAGGATAACCAAAAAAATCCCGTGTAAATTGTTTTTAAATATAATCATTTACTCAAATAAATTGTAATGAAGAATAGTGATAACAGAAAACAGCAGAAGCTTGCAGGTGACATTTCTAGAAGCTCATGAAAACAAGACCATCCCATATTCAAATGCAAAAAGAAAAACTGTTCTAACGGGGTTAAAAGTACTCTGGTCATCTTCGTTCATTTGGTCGTGCAAGGTGTTAATTATTCTCAATTTCCAGATCACAAAGTTAGTCCACAGGAGGGGCTGGTGGATCTTGTCCCTAACATCAGAAAGAGAAAAAATATGAATTGACTTTTTTTCTTTTAAAACTTTTTTTCTTTGTTCAAGACTTGTAGTGCTCAAATCTTATTCCTTGTTCTGTACTCAGAACTGTACTCAGAACTGTACTCAGGGAGGATCACGCTGGTGGGGCTTGCGATACCCTAGGAAGTGCTGGAGGTCAAACCTGGGTCTGCCATATGTGAGACAAGTGCCTGACCCTCTATGCTACTGCTCCACCCCTTGAACTTTCTTCCATCCCAGTGCAAGCAGTCTAAGAGCAACGTCCCTTAACCTGCATCCCAGAAACCTATTTGGAACTTTCGTGCATTTTCTTTTCTTTTCTTTATTGCTTTTGGATCACACTCAGCGATGCTCAGAGGCTACGCCTGGCTCTGCACTCAGGAATTACTCCTGGTGGTGGTCAGGAGAAACATATGGGATGCTGGGGATTGTACCTGAGTCAGCCACATACAAGGCAAATGCTCTACCTACTGTACCACTATACTGTTGCTCCAGGGTCTAGAGCAACAGCACAGTGGGTAGGGCATTTGCCTTGCATACGGCCGACCCAGGTTCAATTCCCAGCATCCCATATGGTCCCCCAAGCAACGCCAGGAGTAATTCCTGAGTGTATGAGCCAGGAATAACCTCTGTGCATTGCCGGGTGTGACCCAAAAAGCAATTAAACTAAACTATTGCTCCAGCTCATGTACATTTTCAACAGTGCAATTCTCCAGTGTTTGACTCCTTTTTTTTTTTTTCCCCTCATCTAGTGATGCTCTCAGGCCTTAGTTCTGGCTCTGTGCTCAGGGATCAATCCTGATAGGGCTTGGGGGACCATACGGAGTGCTGGATTGAACCTGGGTTTCCATGTGCAAGGCAAATGTCCTACCTTCTGTACTATTGCTCTGGTCCCTGTTTGTCTTATTCTTCTCTGTGATTTGAAAGGAGGGAGAAAGTGTCCAAGGGTGACAAGATGTGGATAAGAAAAAGGTTTTTTTTTTTTTTAGAAAAAGTTTTCTAAGAGCAAGGCGGTGAGCTCTCTGGACTCTGTCTCCAGCCCTGAGACTGTTTCTCACATCAGTGTCGGGGAAGCAGTGTGGGGGTTCCTTCTACTCTAGGCAACCACTCCCTGATCACTCGGGGATTCCCCACAACCCAGAGGTAGAAGCAGAAGAAACTACCTTGCTGTTGTTTATGGCTGCACCCAGAACTAGGGAGATCTTGAGTTTTTTTGTTTTGTTTTGTTTTGTTTTTTGCTTTTTCGGTCACTCCCAGCAATAAATAGGGGTTACTCCTGGCTCTGCACTCAGGAATCACCCCTGACGGTACTCAGGGGACCACAGGCGATGCTGGGAATTGAACCTGGGTTGGCCACAAGCAAAGCAAATGCCCTACACGCTGTGCTATTGCTCCAGCCCTGACCCTGAGTTACTGGGGATGGACCCCAGGCCTCCTGCATTCAAAGCATGCACTCCGGTCCACCGAGCTCAGGCCCCAAACCTGGGCGTTTAAAAACACTCTACTTCTAGATTCAAACAAAAGAACATTTTGTTGGGGCCAGAGAGACAGCACAACCCTATGCATTGAACTATCTCAATAGCGCCAGGCTCTATAGAGCTAACTCCTTCCTTTTTGGTTAAAATTCAGCAATACTATATACCTAAGTTTACTACTCCTAACGCAACAACAACTGTAACAACAAAAACTAAAAGCACACACAATAAGCATCCAAACATTGATGAACACCACAACTCTGCCTCCCCACTACATCTTCCTAAGGGTAACAACAAAGGATTGAGTCAAGTGCAATCATTTGGGCTAACTCAAATCGATTAAATGAAGATTTTCATTCTTCCTTATTTTTGGATTTTGGACTGACACCCACACACGATTAGGTCTGGTCCCCGAAGCAATCATTTGAAAATTCCACATGAAAAGCTTATAGAAATTTTGTGGAATAATTCAACAAGTGACTCAGCCACAGAAATATTTTAAAACAACCACCGAAATCAAGTGTGTGTGTGGGGAATACTATATATATATATATATATATATATATATATATATAAATCTTTCAATGAAGTTTATTAAAGTTGGTACCTAGGGAGCCGGAGGGTTAATACAGTGGGTAGGGTGCTTGCCTTGCAAGTGGCTAACTCAAGTTCAAATCCTGGCACTCCATATGGTCCCCTGAGTCCACCAGGAGTGATCCCCGAGTGCTGAGCCAGGAATAAGCCCTGAGCACCACTTGGCTGTGGCCCCAAAGAACTTTTCACCAAAAAATCCAAACCCCACTTCCCTGTTCCCATCGACACCTGCCCACTGACTAACCCAAGGAAATTCTAGCCTAGAACACTTACGTTGTGCGGACTGGCTGGTTTCCCAGTGAAGTTGGATCCTCTTAGATTAGGAGGTCTCAGGAGAAACAGGATGACTGCAATGACCATCCAGGCCATCAAGATCATGGTGATACTGATGCCATTGTCAGTAGATGGGCCTGGGACTGAAGAGAAGAAGAAGAAAAAAATTAAGTATTTGCAACAAAATCCAATAGCACTGACCACAGTATTATTTAGAGAAGTATGAAAACAAATCCTTTTTTGTTTGTTTGGGGCCACATCCAGCTTTGCTCAGGGAGCAGACCCGGGCTGCCACAGGCAAGACAAGCATCCTACCCGCTGCAATCTGGTCCCAACAAAGGACCTTTTTTAAAAAAAAAAATTTTAATAATTTTTTCTAGTTTATTTTTACAACAAAAACAAAGGCTGTTTAAATGTCAATGTCAAAAACTGGGAGCGGGACAGCTAGCTTGGAGGATGGAAGCACGCACACTCTGCTGGCAGGGAAGGATCGTGGTACCATACAGATCCCCGAGCATGCCAGCATCAATCCTGGAGCACCGTGTTGGGAGCAGCACTCACACATGATCAGGTGTGGTCCCCCCAATTATCCCCCCAAAATGGAATTAATGGGCCAGGGAGGAGACGCGATGGTAGAGCATATGCTTTGTACACGTGAGGTCCTGGTTTAGTCCCCTGGAGTTACAAGATGAAAATATTCTAACTAAAATCTGAGATATTAAAATAAAAAAGTATGAATTATTATAAGAACCCACTGGCAAGCATTCAACATCCCTTTCCTCCCGTGAGCGCACCTAACCTACATGGTTGAAGAAGTTGGGTGGACGAGGCCGAAGGGCTGGGGCACAGGTCATGTCGACAACCGCAGTAACACTCACTGGCCAGATGCACACTTTTTTGGTTGTGGGAAAGAAATAAAAAAGAAAGGAAGGAAGGAAGGAAGGAAGGAAGGAAGGAAGGAAGGAGGGAAGGAAAGAAGGAAGGAAGGATATAAAAAATCATAAGCCTAAACCTATTAAATGAAAATTTTATTCTTATTTATTTTTGGATTTTGGACTTATATCAGCGATGCTCAGGGCTTCTAGCTCTATGCTCAGGAATCACTCACGGTGGGGCTCAGGGAACCGTACGGGGTATAAATATTCATTCAAATTAATAATATATAAAGGGTGCAGTTAATCTTTCCTTGATTAATCCTAGGTAATCTTATTTTAAGATCTTTTAAATTTTAAGGGGCCAGAACGATAGCACAGCAGATAGGGCGTTCGCCTTCCATGTGGCTGTCCTGGGTTCAATCCCCAGCACCCCCTAAGGTCCCCCAAGCACCATCAACAGTAATTCCTGAGCGCAGAGCCAGAAGTAAGTAACCTTTGAGCATCGCCAGGTTGAACCAAAAAGAAAAAAAAAACTTTAAAATTTTAAAACTTAAAAAAATGTGGAGTTTTTGGGTTGGTTTTTCTTTTGGGGGGGGTTGTTGTTTTGTTCTGTTTTGGGCCACATCTGGAGGGTACTCAGTGCTTACTCCTAGCTCTGTGCTCAGGGATCATTTCTAATCAAAGTTCGGGGGACCACTATGAGACGCCGGGGATTGAACCTGGGTCAGCTGTATACAAGGCAAACATCCTACCCACTGTACTATTGCTGGTACTGCTGGCTCTGTGCTCAGGGAGCACTCTTAGAGACTGAACCTGATCAGCCACATGTGTGGGTGTAAAGCAAGCGCCTTATTCACTGTATTATCTCTCTGGGTCAAGGGGAACTTTTTCGAGGAGCTAGGGGGCACACCCAGTGGAGCTGAGGGCTTACTCCTGACTCTGCACTCAGGGATCACTCCTGGTGGGGTTTGAGATGCCAAGGGTGGAACCTGGCTTGGCTGTGTGCAAGGCAAACACCTTACCCACTGCACTATTGCTCTGGCCCCAAAACGCATGTTTTAATTTTAGTATTATTCTTTGCTTTTTGGGTCACACCCAGAAATGCAGAGGGCTTACTCCTGGATCATGAACTCAGAAATCACTCCTGGTGTTGCTGGGGGACCATATGGAATGCTGGGAATAGAACCCAGGTTGGCTGCGTGCAAATCAAATGCCCGTGCAAATCAAATGCCCTACCCGCTGTGCTATCACTCCAGCCCCAAAACACATGTTTTAAGAGTGAAAATTCCCTTCCCTTCTGTTGCTGTGTCGTGATGGCCAGGATTCACATACATTTGACTGCAACACTTAGAAGCTCCAGCTGCAGTGCTCAATGAGATAAAAGCTGGGCGCTTCAGCCCAGAGAGCTATCTCACCACCCAAACTGACCTTCATCTATTCACCTGTATCCAGCTTTCCTCTCCTGGTACAACTCCAATTCCCCCATGCACGTCTCCTCCTGTCTTTAGGCTGTGTGACATTTCTAATCACATCATGAATGTTTGGCAGAACTCAGGGGCCACTCCTGGGGAAGAGGAATCCTATGGTCGCAGGCACCAAACCCAAGGCTCCAACATGCAAAGCATATGCTCAGCCCTTGAGCTAGCCCTCCCACCCAGAATTTCTTTTCTTTTCTCCTTTTATCTTTTCATTTCTTAACCGCACCTTGCTGTGTTCAGGGCTGACTGCTGGCTCTGTGGCAGGGATCATTCCTGGCAGGGCTCAGGGGGCCCTATGTGATACCACGCACTGAAACCAGTTAGCTGCACGCAAGCAGGAACCTTAACCCACTTTACTGTCTCTGCCTCCAGATCATTTATTTTTTAAGAACTGCCATCATCTTCTGAGCCGGACAGATAGTACAGAGAGTAAGGTGTGTGTCTTGCATGTGGCTGACTTGGTTTGATCCCCAGCATCCCTTATGGTCCCGAGTGCAGAGCCAGGAGTAACCCCTGAGCTTCGCTGGGTATGGTCCAAAACATTCAAAGAAGTGAGACCATCTAACAGCAGTTCAACTCTGCCACTTCTTAGTCTCTGTGCCTCAAGTTCTCTCCCTGTGACATGAAAATATCTATTATCATCTTGTAGAACAGCTGCAAGGGTTAAAATGGACAGGGCATGAAAAGCAGTTTGTGTAAGGCCTGGCTTGCAGAGGTACCTAACAAAGGTCAGTCACAGGTGGTGTTCGTGAGAACGAGAGCACAGCTGACCGAGCGCGAACATGCTGGCGTGAACCCCTCAGCTAGCCAAGAGGTAACAGGCCCGCATCACTGGTGACTGACCTAGAGGCGGGAGAAGAAAGAGAGGGGTGTCTCTAGCACCTCTGAAGGGTGCCTGCTTCCGTGTTGAGTCTCTGGTGATAAGCAAAAAAGCAAGTCCTACAAATAAGAGGTTGGAGACACCTTACTTGTAGACAAGGTGGAGAGATGGCTCAAAGCACTGCAACACACACTTGAGTTCGAGAGCCCCGGGTTCAACCCCCGACAGTTCACAGTCCCTCCAAGAACAATGGCACTGGAATCCTGAGCACTGAGCCAGCAGCAGTCCCGAGCCAGGCTGGCCCAACCACCACTTTCAAAATAAACAACAAAAATTGGGCCGGATGATAGTACAGTGGGTAGGGCATTTGCCTTGCATGAGGCTGACTGGGTTCAATCCCCAGCATCCCATATGGTCTCCCGAGCATCACCTATGGGAATTTCTGAGTGCAGAGCCAGGAATAACACCTGAGAATTTCTGAGTATGCCCCCAAAACAAATAATAATAATAAAAATTAGGGGCTGGAGCAATAGCACAGTGGGTAGGGTATTTGCCTTGCACGCAGCCAACACGGGTTCAATCCCTGGCATCCCACATGGTCCCTCAAGCACTGCCAGGAGTAATTCCTGAGTGCAGTCAGGAGTAACCTCTGAGCATTGCTGGGTGTGACCCAAAAAGCAAAAATAATAATAATAATAATAATAATAATAAAATTTTGGGCTGGAGCGATAGCACAGTGGGTAGGGCGTTTGCCTTGCACGCAACCAACCTGGGTTCGATTACTCCGCCCCTCTCGGAAAGCCCAGCAAGCTACCGAGAGTATCTCACCCGCATGGCAAGCTACCCATGATATTTTTATTCGATGTGCCAAAAACAGTAACAACGTTATTGGTGCTCACTCGAGCAAATCGATGAATAACGGGACAACAGTGCTACAGTGCTACAATTAAATTTTAAAAATGAAAGGAAAAAAAATTTCCCAATGAGGCCACCAACTTGGCTGGCCACAGGAAAATGAAAGTCGAGAGGACCACTGTGGGAGCCAACGGGAGCTGGCAGGCCATGCGGGATTATTTCTATAAATGTATCGGGTTCCAGTGGGAAAAGATGGGCACAACAGTGAGGGCAGTCAGAGGCCGGGGCTGTAATCCTCAGTGTGTGGAGCGGGTGGGGGAGGGGCGGGCATGCAGCCTGGAATGACACTGCCCTCACAGCAGCTCCCCATTTTCAGCCGATTCACTGCAAAATTGAGTCAGGTCTGCAGGCAGGGTTCTGCAGCAACGTGCAGGGGATCCGGCTCAGCATGACGGATGAAGCACCCAGCTGAGATGCTAAGAAACTGCAATTCGATTCTTGTTACTGAGTGAAGAGCAGAGCGGCACACTCCGCGAAATGATCTCGGACACGTACAATGTGGCCTGTGAGCTCAGACATCCATGACTGGTGTCTATTCCTGGCTCGCGGCTTCCCAGGCCTTTAGAATTTCCTGATAGGGATAAGAATGTCTATTGGAGGGGCGGGGGTGGGGGGATACTGGCTGGGGAGAGGGGGGCGCACACCCAGCTGTGCGCACGGCTTACTCCTGGCTCTGCACCCAAACCAGTGATTTCCTGCAATTGTATGTGGCTCAGCTCTCCCGGAGAAGTCGGCAGGGGGAGGGAGCACACATCTATCTTTCCCACTGTCCTCCTGCTCGAGCCCTGAGAAGAATGTCTTCATATCCCAAGGAGCACCCTGCAACCACCCCAGAGCTTAGAGTGATGAGGTGATGCTTGATGGGCCCTGACCTAGCAAAAGATGGACCCTGGTTATCAGCATTTTGTTCTCCGATTAGCAGGCTGGAACTTCGAGCTGTCCCCCTCCTCCCCCAAGGAGCAGAGGCAAAGCAGAGACCAAGCTCCCCTCCCGAGGCCAGTGGCCTGAGGGTCTGTGCCCACAAAGCCCCTGGCCCAAGGCATCACTGAGGTTCAGGCTTCCTGGGTGGCGAGCATGGCAGGTGCTGGGTGGGTGTTGCCCTCTCCAGCCCACTCTGGGCCTTGGCCCCATGGGTCGCTCCAGGTGAACCTTCTACCAGAAACAGTTGTCAGATATTCTCGGATCTAGTCTGGCAAAAATCACTGAGTCTTGGACTGGAATGATAGTACAGCGAGAGGGATGTTTGCCTTTGCATGTGCCAAACTCGGGCCTGATTCCTGGCACCCCATATGGTCCCCTGGGGCCCTGAGTGAAGAGCCGGAAGTGATCCCTGAGCACTGTCAGGTTTGAAACAAAATTTAAAAAAAGAAAAAAAAAATCACTAAGCTGAGAAGAAATGGTTTGTGAGAACTGATTATGTATGTCTATATACCTATAAATAGGTAATGCATGTCTGATCACTGGTGCAAATTTAGACTATACAAACAAGTATGGGGCCTGGAGCACATGGCATACCAAGGTTCCATCCCCAGCATCCCATATGGTCCCCCAAGCACCACCAAGAGTGATCCCTGAGTCAAGTATAGCCCCTGAGTACCACTGGGTATGGCTCAGAAAACAAAATCAAAAAAAAAAAAATTTTTTTAGTAATTCTAGGAGCTTGAGCCATAGTTCAAATGAGTAGGTGCTTGTCTTGCTGACCCTACCTCAATCCCCGGTATCTCAAAGGGTCCTCAGAGCTCTTCAGGAGTGATCCTTGAGCACAGAGCCAGGAGTAAGCTCTGATGAGCATCCCCACAGGGTGTGACCCAAGTATAAAACAAACAAACAAACAAAAAAGTAATTCCATCACCAAGAGGAAACATCTGTTGAAGCCACTTAAAAACATGACCCTCAAAAAAGGATTTCCATCACATTCTAAAACAAAAGAGAGAGAGAGAAAGAGAGAGGGAGCTGGCCATATAAATATACTAAATTAATATTCAAGCCCCAGCGCTTTGTCTTTAGATTAAGTGAAATTTCACCCACAGAAATAAGAGAGCCTTTGGTTCACAGGTGGGACTGGCTCAAAGGTCCCTAATGCCACCGATGTAATAAACACTTGTTTCCTTGTCGGGATTTCAGTGTGATTACCTCTTACTAGAAGAACAGGTTTCTGATGACCTGCCTGTCAGAGGGCCCGGCTGAAGGTGAATGAGCGCTGGCAGAGGAGCAGCAGGATAAATCTGAGGGCTGGAACTACCCCCCAGGATCCCCAAAGCCCCCACCTCCACACTTGTGGGGGCTTCTCAGAAACCCCGAGTCAGGGCTCTGCCGCTGTGACCTGGGCTCTGAGCTGAGCAAAGTCCTCTCGACCCAAGGCACAGCTCCAGCTCATACTCCTCCAGGTGATGTGTATTACCTGTATGGAATCTGATGTGATAGTTCACAAAGCAGTAACAGTCATAAATCAAGCAAGGCCAAGCTCCATTGGCATGCTAACATGTTCTGTTTTGGTTTCATGGACCAAAGTGGGCTTAGTGTCAGGGATGTTAAAAGGTAAGCACCAATCTATTAATAATGCAACCTCTCACCACTGCAGAAGTCTTTATTATACAGCATGTTGCAAGCTTATAACTGCAAAAAATTTTAGAAATCTATCAGGAACCTAAAAGTTCAACAAAGAGAAACCATTTCAACACTGGTGCTACAGAGATAGTACAGAGGGTAGGGCATTTGCGTTGCATGCAGCCGACCTAAGTTGGATCCCTGGAACCCCAGGTGGTTCCCCGAGAACTGCCAGTGATCCAATGAATAGACAATGGTGCATCCCAAGAGATCACTATTCATTCAGTAGACTTTTTTTGTGCCATGACTACTTACGTTCCTGAAGACATTCTGTGTCTGTGCAGTAGGACTGGGACTGCCTCAACTGTAAAGGAAGAAGAGAGGAAAGTGAGCAACGCTCCTAGTGAAAAATCAAATACATATGCTTGGGGGGGAGATGTCAGTATATTCGACCCTGTTCCATTGGTCTGCAGCTCTGCCTTTGTTCCAGTACCATGCTGTTTTAATTATTACTGCTTTGTAGTAGAGTTTGAAGTTAGGGAGGTTGATTCCTCCCATTTTCTTTTTCCCAATAATTGCTTTAGTTTTTGTGGAGGCTTATTGTTCCATATAAATTTCAGGAGTGTTTGCTCCATTTCTTTGAAGAATGTCATGGGTAATCTCAGTGCCTGAGAAGAGAGGACTGCTTAAGGAAAAACTTTGGTACATTTACACAATGGAATACTATGTAGCGGTTAGAAAAGATGAAATTTACATACAAGTGGTACTACATGGAAAGTATCATGTTAAGTGAAATGAGTCGGAAGTAGAGGGATAGACATAGAAAGATTGCATTTATCTGGGGAACATAAAGTAACAAAATAGGAGACTAACACCCAAGAATGGCTGGCCGAGATTAGTACCAGGAATTTTGCTCCATGGCTTGGAGGCCAGTCACACATGCTAGGGGAAAGGGCAGCTCAGATAGAGAAGGGAGCACCAAATAAAGGGTGTTGGGAGGATCCTCCCAGGATGGGAGAAGCATGCTGAAAGTAGACTATAGACCAAACATGATTGCCACTTTTGCAAACCACAACACTCAAAAGGAGAGAGAGAACAGAGGGGAGTGCGCTGCCACAGAGGCAGGGGGGATGGGGGGATGGGGGGTGGGAGGGATACTGGAATCCGTGCTGGTGGGAAATGGGCACTGGTGGAGGGATGGGTATTTGATCATTGTATAATTGAAACCCAAGCACAAAATTTGTAAGTCTACAACTGTACCTCATGGTGTCTCACTAATAAAAATTAAAAAAAAAAAATTACCCTCCAAAAATAAATAAATAAATAAATAAATAAAATACACACAAGGTAGAGAGAGTCCAGTGCATGGGGCACTTGTCTTGCATGTGACTGACCTGGATTAAGTCCCCGGCATCCCATGTGGTCCCCACAAACTGTCCAAGGCCCTGAGAACCACCAGGTATGACCCCAGCCCACTCTCCCCCAAATAAAATAAAATGCATTAGGACAGAGACTGTATAGTGGGCATTTAGGTGCTTGCTTGCCTTATACAGGACAACCGTGGTTCCATCATGGTAACCCATGCAGTATGTCCCTCCATATACCCTGCCCCCAGCACCACAAGCAGAGCTCAGGAGTGATCCCTGGACACAGCTGGGGATGGCCCCAAAAGACACAAGCAATATGTACTTCCCAGAAAGATATGTGGGTTTTTTTGTTGTTGTTATTTAGTTTTCTTCGGGCAGCAATCCCTAGCTCTGTGTACAGTGTTACTCCTGGCAGCCAGGGGGACCATGTGGTAAAAAGAATTGGATGGGGGCTTCTTGCATGCAAAGCATGTAACTCGTTTATTAAGCTGGGGCTGGAGCAATAGTACAGCGGTTGGACATTTGCGTTGCATGCAGCTCACCCAGATTTGATCCCCTACATCCCATATAGTCCCCCGAGTACCAACAGGAGTAATTCCTGAGTGATGAACCAGGAGTAACTCCTAAGCATCGCTGGGTTTGAACCCCCCTCCCGAAAAAAGGCAGGGGGATTTTATTAAGCTATCTCTTTGGCCCTTTAAGCTTTTCTAAATTTTAAAATGAATTCTAAATATAAAATTTTAAATGAATACTACCACCATGAATAACATTCTTTCCAAATGAAAAACACAAAACTATATTGAGGGGTTGGTTAATTGGTTACGGAAAAAATTTTTTCTACTCAAGGTGATGTTCAACACCCATTTAAATATAGGCTTAGAAAAATAAGTCACCTGCTACAGAACTCCCGCTGCGATATGCTCCTTTAGGAATATATGATCTATATTCCCAAATGGCCCACAGCAGAGAGCTAACAGAAGAAGGGGTAACTCTACTAATGAGTTTTTTCCCTCATGAAAATCTGAAGATAGGGGCTGGAGCAATAGCACAGCGGGTAGGGTGTTTGCCTTGCAAGTGGTCGCACGTGGCCAACCGGGGTTTGATTCCCAGCATCCCATATGGTCCCCCAAACACCGCCAGGAGTAATTCTTGAGTGCAGAGCCAGGAGTAACCCCTGAGCATTGCTGGGTGTGACCTCAAAAAAAATTTGAAAAAAAAAAAAAGAAAAAGAAAATCTGAAGATAGAGAAAACGAGGGGGGTGCGGGGGTGGGGAGCAGGCAATCCAACCCAAGGTTTGATCTATAGAAGTGCCCCTTGTAAAGAAAGGAATTCTCTTTCTCTCCTTTTGCTTTCATCTACATAAACAGTGGTTGGAGAAATAAAAAATAATGAAAATCAGAGACCCAGCGTTTGTGGAAGGGACAGAGGTGTAGATTATCACAAAGTTGGGATCTAAAGAAGTTCTCTGTGGGCTTGAGAGATAGCACAGTGGGTAGGGCGTTTGCCTTGCACATGGCTGACCTGGGTTCAATCCCCAGCACCCCATGTGGTCGTTGAGCCACGCCATGAGTAATTCCTGAGTGCAGAGTGAAGAGTAACCCCCAAGCATCGCTGGGTGTGACCCAAAAAGCCAAAAAAAGAGAGGTGTTCTGTATCTATCTTTTCCTATAATTTAACTTTGGAACCACATCGTTTTTAAAAGTGAAACAGGGCTAAACAGATAGTACAGCAGGTAGGGTGCTTGCCTTGCACGTGGACAACCTGGGTTCGATCCCTGGCACTAGGCATGATCCCCTGAGTACCCCCAGGAATGATCCCTGAGCCAGAAGCAAGCCTGAGCACAACTGAGTGTAGCAAAATACAAACAACGAAACAAGGGGAATTTAATTCACCACCCTTCTAGGAATGTACACCCTGTACTGAGGCTTTTTAGGATGTTTAGGAAAGATTTAGGAATGATCATCTCATAAACCCTAGAGCTGAAAATGAGTACAAACTAAAGAAAATAGGCGCACCCGACTACTCAAATTCAGCCTCACCCTTGGGTAATGATACCCTCTCCCCAAGAAGCAAGATGCAGCTCGTAACTCGCAGGTGTTCAGGGAAACAGCCATATAACTGCTGCACGTAGCTGGCTCCTAACAACTACGTAGGGCAGAAAGAAGACCTTGATTTGAAGTCTGGCACTGCGGCCAGGGAGACAGTTTGCAAGGCTGCTGTACATGTCTGCATGGCTCCAAAGGCATGCCTGGGCATAGGCGCCTGATCCCAAAGGACAGCGCCTGATTCCCGAGTATAGTGCTGACCCAGGAACACAGTGCTGATCCCTTAGTAGAGTACCTGATCGCCGAGCACAGTGCCTTATCCCTGAGTTCAGTACCTGATCCCTGTGCACAGTGCCAGGAGTAGTCCTCTGGCCGTTGCCGGGCATGATCCCAAAACCAAACAATAAAAATTAAGCCTGGCTCTGACTGACTGCCAGAGCGATAGTACCCTGCATGGGACTGACACGGGTTCAATCCCAGGCGTCCCATATGGTCCCCAAAGCACTGCCAGGAGTAATTCCTGAGTGCAGAACCAGGAGTAACCCCTGAGCATCACCAGGTGTGACCTCCCCTCCAAAAAAAAAAAAAAATGTTTGACTCTACAAATTTCTCATTTCAAGACCCTGGGCAAATTAGCACTTCTAAGCTTGCGTCTCCTCACCTGGCAAAGCAGGGACAATGTCATCTACATATTTAAATAATACATGTGAAACATAAATAACAAGGCAAGAAATTGAGCCATTATCATTACTGTGTCACACAAAAATGCCATTTATACTACCAGTGGAATTAGCAAATAAGCAAATCACTTTGTAAATTATTCTCTCAAACAATCAGGCTTGCTTTTGTGTAAATCAATGAAAATTTTTAAAATTTTTTTTCTATAAAAGCAAATGACAGGGGTCAGAGCAGTAGTTCAGCAGGTAGGGTTTTTGCCTTGCATGCAACCAGCCCCGGCATCCCGTATAACTTGTCAGGAGTGAACCCTGAGCACAGATCCAGAGAGTAGAAATCACATGAAGGCTTTCAGCAAAGAAGAATAAAGACCAGGCAAGCATGGCCCAAAAAACAAAAGGGACCGGAGACACAGTACACTAGGTAAGGTGCTTGTCTCCCATACAGCTTGATCTTCGTCAAAAATCAAACCAAATCAAAAAACACTTAGATTTTGGGAGAGGAGAGACTCATACGTGGTAGTGTCCAGAGGACCCATAAGAAGGGATCAAGCCCAGGTCACCCACACCTTAAAGAGTTAAATGCAAGAACCTTAACTTTTGCACTGTCCCTATAGCCCACTATTTTTTTTATTTAAATAAAATGCCAAAACAGCACAAATGCATGGTCAAATTAATGGCTGAACACTGGGTCAACATCCACTCTGACCAACCTTAACACAACATAGCCATAGAGGGGACTGAAAATCTCCAATGCTCCAGTTAAGCAATCAGGTGCCTGTAGCTTAAGTCAAAACCTAAGCAGAGTCACTAGTGAGCGCCACCCGCGGCGCATTCTGTCCAAGTGCGGCCTTCAGATTGTAAGAGGCTGTTTGCTTTTCTCTTTCCCTTTCAAACTCCCCAGCAGGATCGCACATATCAACTTTACTTGCAATCAGCAAATTCCTTGCCAACTCCAAAGCAAGACCGTCTGGAAAAATGGAGAAAGGCGGTAAGTGAGACTAGCTTAGACGAATTCCAACCGAGAGAAATCACAGGGGCATGGGTTCTAATGCGGGGTGTAGGAAAGACAGAATAATGAGTCTCTGTAAGGGATCCAAGGATGTGGCAAAGAGCCTCACGGGAAAATAAATCACCAACGTCCATGAAGACAAACCAGTGACTTCCCACAACTGTCCGTGGATCAGCTCCCCTAAAGTCGTCAGGGAGAGACAGCAAGGAGCAAAATGGACAGAATCTCCATCCCGCAATGACAACCTTTTTGTAAACATTTTGGT